AGTCTGGGCAGCGTCAATCCTTGGCAAGGCTGAGAAGTTCGAAGGCTGGCACAGTTTCACTTGCCAATGTTGGTGAGGCTGGACCTCCGAGCGTGGCATAGCGGACAAGCCCGCATGGGGGCATTGTGATTTCCAGTGTCCAGGTTGCTGGCAGATAGGGCATAACCTCGGAGGAGGTGTAGTGCAATATCATGCCACATGACCATTTAGGCCACACTTGAAACAGTTTGCCTGTGAGGTTGACTTAGGCTGGGCTCCATCAGGGTAAAGCTTTATGGTTAGCTTCCCTTGTCCTCCTTCCTGTGACCTTAGAGCAGCTGCCAAGGCCTGGGCCTGTAGATTATTGTAGCCTTGTCTGTCGGGAAGACTCAGCTGTTTATTCTCCGGTATTAAAAACTTTAAAGGTCATTTTCACCAGTTCCCGTATAGGGGTTTGGGGACCCTCCGCAAGGTTTCTTAACTTTAAGCAGAAGGATTAGTAGAAAAGGAACCCAGCTGCTTTTCTATCTGAGAAGGATCTGGAAGAGGAAAGGGAACGTGAACTTTCATAATGCCATCGACTCCCGCCACCTCCCGGAGAGGGCAGAGAATGACAGAGCTATGATGGGATCTGGTGTGGGAGGAGACTGGGGAGGATTGGGAGGGGCTAGGCCAGAGTGCAGAGGGGGTCCAAGGGTGGGAAGATGAGGTAGGAAAGGGAGGGAAGAAGAAGGTGGGTTAGGTGAAAGTTGACCTTGAACTTCCAGACTGGGAAGGGAGAGGGTAGACAGGGGAAGGAGAGAAATGTGGAGAATGTTGCTCCACAGGAGGGGGTTGGGTAGTGTGGGCTTGAGGGAGTGGGGGAAGGGCCAGTGCCTCTGGCTGCATAGTCCAGCTGGAATTGTCCGGGTCCCAGTTCCCAGATGACCTGGGATTTGGAGGTGTTGTGGCCTTAACTACCAAGACCGGTGCCGTGAGACACTGGCTACTAAGGGAAGGGCGAGAGCGCAGAGCCCAAACACCATGGACATATGTAAGCTCTGTAAGGACATTTGTCCTTATGGTGACAAAATTTTTTTAGGTCCTGGGGGATGGTAAGCTCAAGGCTTCCTTCTGGTAGCCAACACGTCCCATTGTCAAGATCATATTGAGGCTAAATCTTAGTACATAGGGACATTAGCCATTCAGGACGAGCCCCAATTTATAAAGATTTTGTAAAGGGCATCCCAGGGGCAACAGCAGATTTGGCTTTGAACTGAAAATGCCCATTTTTAAGTCTATGCCCAACCGTGTGGCCTTAGTCTATTACAGCACATCCACTAAAATAGCTCTTAGGCCTAATGGGGTCATGGAAATTGAATGCTAGGCATCCCTAGAGCAAACAGCCCATCTCTGCTAAACCTGGTCTTGCCAGTGGTCTAGCTGCGGCTGAGATCAAACTCCTGGTGCGGGCCTGCGACTTCCACAAGTGTCCGATAATCAACAAAAGTTAAGTACGAATGGGTTCCCCAAGCCCTATAGCATAGACAACCAAAAGGGACTCGTGAAGATAGACGCAGCCACTGTAGCCCAGGACCCGCTTTTAGTGTGGTGTGGAGAGCTCAGATTGTGGCCTATGGCCACGCGGAAAGGCCATCCTACCTGGTGGGGCCTCCAAGATGTTAGAAATTTTCCTAATGCGAGTTCTCGGCCAACACAAAAATCTCAATCAAGCCAAATCACAACAAGCCAAATTTAAAAAAAAAAAAAAATCCAGTTTTAATGGGATTCCTGCGCTCTAGGGTGGCCCCGAGGGGAAACCAGGAAGCCACTAAGCGAACACGACCACCACCAGGAGAGAGAGGAGAGACCACAGGGGAAATTTCTGGGGAAGCAGTTTTAAATAGACTGGGGAGTGGTCAAGATTTTGGCGAGCTGTTTTAACACTCCTCCGGAGAGGAGTCAAGGCTTGGTGGGCACAGGGACGGGGTCTCCAAAGATGGAGGTCAGAGACCAGGACTTGGCACTTAACAATGCTTAGTGATGAAATTGAAGGAACAAGTCACTGCATATTCCAAACACACAGAGGACCAGGAAATATGATTATGAAAAGTTAATACACTGCTCTGTAAAAAGCAACCAGCTTCCTTCCTTGTCCCTCCCTCTCTTTGATCACCACGACTCAAGCATGGAAGTTCCCCAAAGGAAGCAAAGCCAATGCTGAGCAGAGTCTTGTTTTGCAGTTGTAGTTTCAGTGCGCTCTGTCACCTGCCACCACCCATCACCGGAGATTTATACGAGCTTTTAGCCTGGGTCACACTGCCCTCGAAGCGTAACACACGAAGATCCCATAATGAGAAGTCTGAGCTCCTCATTTCTTTGAGTCATTTCTAAAGTTCTTTTCCTCCAGATCGTATCTAACCTTGAAACAGACTCATCAAGTGGTCCGAGGGCAAATGTCATCACTGTTCTCCTAAGGAGGAAGCAGGGTCGGAACAGCTGCTCAAGGCACAGCCACTGTGATGCCTTCTGTCTCCCGCTGAAGGATTCTACCCAAGGAATCAGCTCAGCGCTCATCACCCAGATGACACAGTAAGATGAGTACAGAGCAAAATGAGAGACACTGGGGACCAAGGGGAGCAGTAAGGGAAGCTCCCAGAGGAGAGAGATGAGAGGCCACTCCAGGCAGGGAGGGTGCAAGTCATGGGGAGGGAGCAGGGTTGCAGGGCCTCCAAGAGGTACTCAGGAGGGCTGGTGACAGGGACAGCGGCAGACATCTTCTAGCTGCCAACTTGAGATGTGGCGACCACCACACGCAGCAAAGCAGGACCAACGCCTGCCCCGCTCTTGGTCTCAGTGGGAATTTTGCCTCCCTGTGAAGACGAATTTGCTCTGTTCGGATAGCTTTGACGGTGAAGATGGTTAAGAAGAGGAACATCCACACACCAGAAGAGAACGCAGAAATAAAAGAGGAGTTCCGAGCATAGAAGGAAAGGTCACAATCCAGGAGTCTGAGACATTCGACCACAGGGACGACTCTCAAAGCCAAAGGAAGTTCCGCCCAATCTGAGGCACGTGGGATTTTACGACAGAAGAGCAAGACGTGAAGCTAAGGGTGAAGAAGTACAGAGCCTCTGAGAATGCGGCTTGGGAGCTCCAGAGTGCAGCTAGACGTGAGGTTAGGAGTGTATTGATCTCATCACTGTGTAAATACGCGCTGAGAGCTAGCAGAGTGCTGAGAATATTCTAGATGTGGGCCCAGAGCAGTCAACAAGAGGCCTCACTTCAGTGCAGGTTTCGTGTTGCTCAAAGTGTTGTGGAGAGAAGCCCATCCAGTGAGTGGGTTCAGCATGGGCTGGGAGGGCCACTGCAAGGGGGACCCTAGTGGCACGGTGTTGACAGAGACCTCCAGAAGGAGGGAGGGCTTTGAGATGCATGACTTGAAGCATAATGACAGAAAGAATATGTTTGGAAATGTCAAGTTTCAATTTTATTGGTTTTGTTTAAACTTTCAGAATGTTTTATTTCATTCTGAAGCAGCGAACCTAAGCTTACTAACTGGGTTCCTGTTACTGCTGCACCCCCAAACCTGCCTCCACACTGTGACCAAAATAACCTTTCAGATCTGATTCTCAAATCTCCCAGTAAGCACTCCCTGGAGACAGTGAGTACCCAGATGATGTCACATTCACATGGGTGATGCAGGAAACCTCTCTGGGCAGTCTTCTCTGTCCAGGCCAGAGTGGTTCTCAACCTGTAAGTTGTGACCCCTTTGGCAAACTTCTATCTCCAAAAATAGTTACATTATGATTCAAAACAATAGCATAATTACTGTTATGAAATAGCAACAAAAATAATTTAATGGTTAGGACGTCGCTACAAAATGAGGAGCTACAGTAAAGGGTCGCAGCATTAGGAAGGTTGAGAACCTTTGGCCCAGAATGTCTTTTCACCCTCTGAAAAACTCCTGCTCACCCCTTAAAATTCAATGCAAGCATCACTTCCTCAGACCTCATCCTGCCCCTCACCTCCGTGCAGAGGTGCCCTTGCGTTCACTTCCTGAACACTGGGCATAGCTTCAGGACAGCACTTAGCATGACTGCTGCTATTGTTTGTCTGGTTTTCTTCCCCTTAGCTTGTTTAGCCCCAGGACCGAAGCCAGGGTCGAGGACTAGAGGGAATGACGCCACAGCTCCATTGGGGTCTTACTCTGTTTGCTATGTCAGCCGAGTTGGAACAGAACGGATACAGTCCAGTGCCACCCTGTGCTGGGTGACACCGGGACTTCCAACTCTAGTCCAAGCAAGGACTCGTCATGAGTAGAGAGGAATAAAGCATTCTCTTTAGCTCAGCCTGGTTGGTGATTGGAGCGACTGGAAGGAGACCAGGGTGGATGAGTCAGATGAGTAAGAAGGTGGCCAGGCAACCCTAAGCCAGTCTGTGGGCTGAATAGAAGTGGAGAGATTTAGGGACCCTGAGAGGCAGGCTACAGGGGAGGGTGGCTGGTTGGAATGCTAGGCTAGCTGCAGGAGGAAGCAGTTTGTCAGGGGAAGAAAACCCACAGCGAGGCTGAGAGCCATCAGACCCCACCCCTAGTCCTCATTCTGGAGGTGAGTTTGTCCTATGCCAGCCCCACCTCTGAACAGGCCATTTACACAAAAGCAAAGTTTGAGATACAGGCTGGATATTGCTCATCCCAAATGCTTGGGACCAGAAGGGTCTCCATCCAGACACTTTTTGGAGAGTGAAATATTTTCTCCCTGTCTCTGTCTCTGTCTCTGTCTCTCTCCCTCTCAATGAGGTCTTTTGGAAATGGGACCCACATCTATACACAGAATTTGTGTCACGCACGTCTCGCAGAGTTGAAATCACATACAACAGGTGTAGCACACCTGCAGTGTGGCTGTGGCTCATCTCATAAGGTCAGAGGTTTTAATTATTAAAATAAATGCTAAACATAATATGAAACAGCAATCTAGCTATTAAACAGTTTAATCGTGAAATATCAAGGTAAGATAGGAAATAAAACCTTTTAGTTGTTTAAACATATTATCTTATTATGAATTTGCTCAATTCAAGGACAAACACCAGTAGCATGGTGCTGCACTTGATGCATCCAGCAGCATCGTAGTGCATTTATGTCAGTGTCCTCGCAGATACGCTGGCGTCATCGGGTCTGTGACAGCACGTGGTGGCAGTTCCTGCCAGCTCCATGTCACTCTGTGCACTGCTATTTTGCTGCCTGGCTTCACAACGCTGTGGTGTTTACTGGAGGTTCCAATCATTATGTTTTAGCTTTATCAAAGGAAAGTGCACTGTGTTAGCACGCCCTTCACTGCATCACTGAAGGAGCATTGTGAGGCAAAAACTGGTGTCCTAAGGACCAGATCCTGGGAGCAGGTAGGGAAATCGAGCCCACAGTGCCAACAATGCTATGTATCCACAAGGGCTTTTAGGAGGAAGCAGTATTTAACAGATATTTAAATGTTAATGCAGACAGCTGTGGGGGAGAGTTGGAGGAAGCACGATTAATAAAGACTCAGAGACAGAAACTGGGATCAACATGAAGATCTGAAAAGCAAAACAACCAGCCACTGGCTCTTACCTCGACCTCAGTACAAAATGGCCGAACCCGCCACCAGGAAGCTCAGAAAGAGACTGTGTCTGAGAGCTGTCTCCTCCCGTTTTATAATCCTTCCTAGTTCTGGGATTAAAGGCATGCACTGCCTGGTGTCTATGGCAATTTATGTGATGACTAGGATCAAAGGTGTGTGTTATTGCGGCCTGTCTGTAAGGCTGGCAGTGTGGCTGTTTTACTTTCCTGATCCCCAGGCAAGCTTTGTCTATTAAAATACTATTGAAATGCCACTACAGTTGGAGAATGAGAGACAGAAGCGGTGCTGGGAGGCAGCTCAGTGCTAGAGCCCATGCCTACGCATGGATTTGACAACAGTACTATGTGAGAGCACACGCGTCCACCCTGCACACACACACACACACACACAACAGTACTATGTGAGAGCACACGCG